GTTACTGTCATGACATTTGGAGGATACATCTAGTACATGGTCCCCTGACATTTATGGGGGATATCTGTCCATGTCCTGACTATTTGGGGATTATCTGTCCTCTGTCACTGACATTTTGGGGGATATCTGTCCTGTCCTGACATTTGGGGGATATCTGTACTGTCCTGACAATTTGGGTGAATATCTGTCCTGTCCTGACATTTGGGGGATATCTGTACTGTTCTGACATTTGGGGGATATCTCGTCCTGTCCTGACATTTGGGGATATCTGTCCTGTCCTGAATTTGGGGGATATCTGTCCTGTCCATGACATTTGGGGGATATCTGTCCGTCCTGACATTTTGGAAATATCCCCCCCCCCCCTTTACCCCCCCCCCCTGACCCCCCCCCCCCCCACCCCCTTGGGGATATCTGTCCCTGTCCTGACATTTGGGGGGATATCTGTCCCTGTCCTGAACATTTAGGGGGATATCTGTTGTCCTGTACATTTGGGCCGGTATCTTGTAACGTCCCCGACATTTGGGGGGATATCTGTACCGTCCTGATCATTTGGGGGGATATCTGTATACGTACCTGACATTTGGGGGATTATCTGTACCGTCCTGACATTTGGGGGATATCTGTACCGTCCCTGACATTTGGGGGATATCTGTACCGTCCTGACATTTGGGGGATATCTGCTACGTCCTGGACGGGGGATTCCTGACCTCCTACATTTGGGGGATATCTGTACCGTCCTGAACATTTGGGGGATATCTGTAACCTGTCCTGACCGGGGATATCCCGTCCTGACATTTGGGGGATATCTGTACCGTCCTGACATTGGGGGATATCTGTACCGTCCTGACATTTGGGGGATTATCTGTACCGTCCTGACATTTGGGGGATATCTGTACCGTCCTGACATTTGGGGGATATCTGTACCGTCACTGTCCTGACATTTGGGGGATATCTGTACCGTCCTGACATTTTGGGGGATATCTGTACCGCGCCTGACATTTGGGGGATATCTGTACCGCGCTGAGACATTTGGGGGATATCTGTACCGTCCCGACATTTGGGGGATATCTGTACCGTCCCGACATTTGGGGGATATCTGTACCGTCCCGACATTTGGGGGGGATATCTGTACCGTCCTGACATTTGGGGGATATCTGTACCGCTCTGACATTTGGGGGGTATCTGTACCGCGCTGACATTTGGGGGATATCTGTACCGTCCTGACATTTGTGGATATCTGTCCTGTCCTGACATTTGTGGGATATCTGTCCTGTCCTGACATTTGGGGGATATCTGTGCTGTCCTGACATTTGGGGGATATCCGTACCGCTCTGACATTTGGGGTATATCTGTACCATGCTGACATTTGGGGGATATTGTACCGCGCTGACATTTGGGGGGATATCCGTGCTGTCCTGACATTTGGGGGGATATCCGTACCGCTCTGACATTTGGGGGATATCTGTACCGTTCTGACATTTGGGGGATATCTGTACCGTCCTGACATTTGTGGGATATCTGTCCTGTCCTGACATTTTGGGGGGGATATCCGTGCTGTCCTGACATTTGGGGGGACGTCTGTACCGTCCTGACATTTGGGGGATATCTGTACTGTTCTGACATTCTTGGACCTCAAGAAATTAGATTGGCCTTCAGTACTTCAGGATTGATCAATATTCAGATCTATACCATAGTTTGTGAACTCTATAACTTTCCTATAGACTACAAAATACATCCTAATTTGGGTTATTTTCACCAAAGACATGTAGCAGAATACATCTCGGCCTAATTTATGAAGAACAATTATTTTATTTGCAAACTTTTATAACAGAAACAAAAAAAAACATGTTTTTGTTTTTTTTCAACATTTTCGGTCTTTTTTTGTTAATTTAGCAAAAAATAAGAACCCCGGCGGTGATTAAATACCATCAAAAGAAAGCTCTAGTTGTGTGAAGAAATGATAACATTTTAGTTTGGGTACAGTGTTGTATGACCGCGCAATTGTCATTTAACCGTTAGCCGCCCGGCCAATGGCCGTTTGGCGGCTTGAAAAGCGCTGCAGCTTTCCGGGTGCACGCCATTTGGCGTGCTCCCGCACATGCGCGGTTTGCGCGGTTGCAGAGCGACGCAGCAGTGCAATCTGTCACCGCCCGTGCACCTCGGACACGGCCGATGACAGATCCGAGTACCGGCTCCCGTTGGCCGGTACCATGTGACCTGCTGTGATTAATCACAGCAGGTCACATGACAGTTGTATACAATGGATGGCTTCATTCATGATGCCATCCATTGTATACTAGTGCCTAGCTGTGAATGGTCACAGCTAATCACATGCACATGTCATGTGATTAGCTGTGACCAAATCACAGCTAAGCACAAAAAAAAAAAAAAAAAAGCTGAATGAATCAATTTCATTCAGGAAAATGCTTGCTTATAGCAAAGTAATTCTTTGCTATAAGCAAATTGTGTAAAAAAAAAAAAAAAATACTGATCACTTCTCCAAAGTAGTACAGTGTTACTATGGTAACATTGTACTATTTTGGTCATAGTAAAATATGAAAAAAAATCTTAAAAAAAATAAAAAAAAATGTAATAAAAAATTAAATATAATAAAAAAAATAAAAAAAAATTAAAAAAAAAAAAATTTTTTTCATACTGTCACCAGTCAGTGTCGCTGTTCACCGCCATGCCAGTTATATGATGACGCTGTACTGCACTGGTGACAGTATGTAAAAAAAAAAATAGTGAAAATAATTTTTTTAATTTTTTCATTTTCCGAAAAATTATGACAAAAAAATACAACTTCAAAAAACTCGCCATGCCTCTTATGAAGTACGTCGGACTGTCTACTCTGCAAAAAAGGGGTCATTTGGGGGATATCTGTACTGTCCTGACATTTGGGGGATATCTGTACTGTCCTGACATTTGGGGGATATCTGTACTGTTCTGACATTCTTGGACCTCAAGATATTAGATTGGCTGTCAGTACTTCAGGATTGATCAATAATCAGATCTATACCATAGTTTGTGAACTCTATAACTTTCCTACAAACTAAAAAATACATCCTAATTTGGGTTATTTTCACCAAAGACATGTAGCAGAATACATCTCGGCCTAAATTTATGAAGAACAATTATTTATTTGTAAACTTTTATAACAGAAACAAAGAAAAATGTGTTTTTTTTTCAAAATTTTTGGTCTTTTTTTGTTAATTTAGCAAAAAATAAAAACCCCAGCGGTGATTAAATACCACCAAAAGAAAGCTCTAGTTGTGTGAAGAAAATGATAAAATTTTAGTTTGGGTACAATGTTGTATGACCGCGCAAATTGTCATTCAAAGTGTGAGAGCGCTGAAACCTGAAAACTGGCCTGGGCAGGAAGGTGTAAAATTGCCCGGTATTGAAACGGTTAAACTGTGAGAGCTCTGAAACATGGCCTGGGCAGGAAGGGGGTAAAAGTGCCCGGTATGGAAGTGGTTAACCATGCATTTTCTGAAACATATTCACTGTGCGTTTATTAACAATGTCCCAATATAAAACGAATACTTAATATCAACCGTCCCTTTAAGACTCCGTGCCCCAGGTGATAATGTGTAATCTCTCCTCAATATATATACATCCAGTGATTTCTTGTCACCCCCAGTGTGATATCCTCCGACACACTTATGCGCTCATCTTGTGCATTGACCTGAACCATCAGGTCAAAGCACGTCTTTCCCTTTAACCCGGGCGGGTATGCTGATGTATCACTCTCCAACTCCTCCTGCACCTCCACACTCCAAAACACACTTCTTGGCAGTTGACCCGAACCCTCAGGTCAAAAGCACGCCTTTCCCTTTAAACCCAGGTGGGTTCACTGGTGTGTAATATTTCCAACTCCTCATGCACCTTCAAACTCCAAACGCACCACAGAAATGGAAAAATGCTCCAGATGGTGAAGTATATCAAACCAATAACTTTTATTAAAACTCTAAAATCAACCACTCACATTTATATGTGTCCCCTTGGGACACTACAGGATCAAGAACTATTTGTGTGTAGTTTTTATGAATGAAACTACATTAGAATGTATTGAATCCCCTATCCAGGATGGCGGAACGTCCACCTCCGGTTACGGCTTGACGTCATTCAGCTTACTCTACGCGTTACGTCTCGACATGTGACTTCATCAGGATTAGCCAATTGCACGACTAGCCTTGTTTTTATTCACATTCATTGATATTAATATGTTACACCTGTCTCAGTGCCATTTTGTTGGAGACCATCACATGGTCTCGGGCGCCATTTTCTTGTAGTCCTGTGCTCTTAAGTATGTCACTGCTCATTCTAACAGATACACAGGAGGATCCTAAACTTCCATCTCTATTAAAACTTTTAAAACCTGACAGTAACTCACTGAATACTTGATATTTATCTATATCTACGGCTAACTGAATCCCTCATAAAAACGATGTATAACAATATAGAAATGTTATATATTGCCATCTAGTGGACAAATCTAAAATGCCCCCCCACCCCCCCCCCCCCCCCCCCCCCCCCCTCTTCCGACCTGCCCCCCCCCCCCCCCCCCCCCCCCCCCCCCTTACCATCCCCCCCGACCCCCCCAAAGAAAAAACTGTCTGGGATTTTTTTTTACCAAAGACCTGCAGCAAAATATATTTTGGCCTAAATTTATGACGAAAATAGATTTTTTTAATTTTATTACTGGACATGTTTAACCCCCTCGCCTACAGGGCACTTCTACCCCCTTCCTGCCCAGGCCAATTTCCAGCTTTCAGCGCTGTCACACTTTGACAATTGCGCGGTCATGCAACACTGTACCCATATGAAATTTTTAGCAATTTTTTGAGACAGAGCTTTATTTTGGTGGTATTTAATCACCTCTGGGATTTTTATTTTTTCTTAAACAAACCAAAACTGACAATTTTGGAAAAAAAAAAAAAAAATAACATTTTTTCTTAGTTTTTGTTATACAATTTTGTAAATAAGTGATTTTTCTTCTTCACTGATGTGCGCTAATGAGGCTGCAGCGATGGGCACTGATAGGCTGCACTGATGAGGAGGCACTGGTAGATTGCACTGATGGGCATTGACAGGCATCACTGATGGGCACTGAAAGGCAGCACTGATACATGATACTGATACATGGCACTGTTAGGCGGCACTGACTGGCACTGGTAGGTGGCACTGACTGGCACTGTTAGGCAGCACTGACTGGCGACACTGACTGTCACTGATAGGTGGCACTGATTGGCATAGATAGGTGGCATTGACTGGCACTGATGGGTGACATTGAAAGGCAGCTAAGGTGGGCACTGATATGTGGCATTGATGTGCACTGGTATGCACTGATATGTGGTACTGATGGGCACTGACAGGTGGCACTTCTGGGGCCACACTGATCATCAGTGCCCTGATGATCAGTGTACATGTCCCCTCCGCGGAAAGCCGATTACCGGCTCTCCTCTCCTCTGTCAGCGTGACAGCTCGAGAGGAGAGAAATGCAGATAACCGGCATTTCAGTGTTTACATGTGATCAGCTGTGATTGGACACAGCTGATCACATGACCAAGCCGACATCTACGGCTCTTTCCGTGATCTGCTGTGTCCAAGTGACACAGCGCACCGGACGATCGCTGCGCGCTCCCTGAGCCGCGCATGCGCAGTGAGAATGGTAGGAGGTCATATGACGTCCTATCAGAACGAGAGAACCACCTTGCGCCCGTCTTTGTACTATAGGGCGGGCGGAAGGTGGTTAATAGTCAAAATATTGGGGGGGTTTTTCTCAAAATTGTCGGTCTTTTTTTGTTTATAGCACAAAAGATAAAAACCACACAGGCGATCAAATACCACAGAAAGAAAGCTCTATTGTGGGAAGAAAAATTTAAATTTTTAAAGAAAAAGGACGTAAATTTAATTTGTCAGTTTAAGTAATGCAGGGACGTAACACAAAAAATGTCCTCTGGAGGGCGAGGGGTTAAACAGTCATCATATAATGAACAAGGCAAAATCAATACAACATAGATGCCGCCTAGACCGGCACTTACATGACTAAACTGTTTATATACATTATTCAGCCTATATCCATTATAGAACTATCGCTTGAATATGTTTTGGTCAGTACCTGAAAAAAATCACAAATTGTGCCTGCGTCCTAATATATACAGTATGTACCTAACTGTACATCTTCCCAGCCCTCCTTATACCACCTATGTCATTCAATAACACTTGATTTCTTCATAGAATGTTCTCCATAAGCCTGCTGTAACAGCTGAAGTTTCACTCACACTTTTGCCCATTTTCACACAAAATGTGATGTAAATCCTGTGCTCCAGATTCCTGTCACTCATTTTCCACCAACAGGGCAACGCACACACGTGTTATTTCTTCTACTACTCTGTAAAGACTGAGCCCACTGGTGTGTGACCCGGGAGAGAGCAAGTTAGAACATGATTTATTTATTTATTTCAGGTACTTCTATAGCGCTGTTAATTTACGCAGCACTTTACATATAAATATTGTACATTCACATCAGTCCCTAAACCTGAAGGGGTGTCCCTAACTTACATTCATACATGCACATACTAGGGACCATTTAGACAGTATCCAATTCACCTACCAGCTTGTCTTTGGAGTGGGAGGAAACCAGAGTACCTGGAGGAAACCCATGCAGGCACAGGGAGAACATGCAGGCAGGAGGTGCCGTGGCTGGGATTCGAACCAACGACCCTAGTACTGCCAGGCGGAAGTGCTAACCATTTAGCCACTGTGCTGCCCATGACTGAGTGTGAATGGCTGTGCGACTCACCACCGTAGTGCTACACATTCCGGGAATTCACTTGTCACACCTCGTACATACATGCACACAAATCCTAAAACCAATTTAAACAGGAGCCTATTAACCAACCCGTATGTCTTTGGGGTGGAGGAGAAAACCCACACAAGTGCAAGCTGAATATGCAAACTCCATGCAGAGTGTGTGCTGACTGGGATTTGAATTGAGGACCCCAGTGCTGCAAGACAGATGTGCTGACCACTTTATATAGAATATGTATTTTGTTAAAAGATTTTAAATGTTTTTATAAACTCTATTCACAGGTTGGTGAGATGCCTGGTCGTCCTAAAGAATGACCATGCCACCCTCGTTCAATCACATACAGCCATTAAGAATCGGGCGAAGGATTCTAAAAGATGTGCTATTCAGCTAGTGAGACAAAGTCGTTAAGAAGGCGTGGTGAGGAGGCAGCGATGGTGGCCCAGCATTTCATGCACAACAATGACGAGCTGAAGAAGGTATGAGGCACCAATATACATGAAACGTAACTTGGTCTATTGTTTTTCTGTAAAAGGTGGTCCTAGTCTTAACCCCTTGACGCCGACGTAACACAGATATGCGGCCTCACGGACCTGGGCTTTTTTCCGTGGGGCCGCATATTTGTGTACCTGTCTTTGTGTTGGGAGCGCGCCCCTCAGCGCGCTTCCAGCACCGAGACTGCGGTGTCACTGAGAGCACCGGGTCCCGTTCTAACGATCGGGACCCGGGACTCCTGGTCCCGGGTCACATGATCACTGTGATAGCCTCTGATTGGCTATCACAGTGATCGGTCACTGTGCAGCCCGGCCCTCTTGTTTTTTTTCTCTCTCTCTCTATGACTGGAGAAGAGAGATACATTGTATCTCTCGAACTCCTGTCAGAGAGAAGAAAAAAAAGTTTGTAAAAAAAAAAAAAAGATAATAAATATTGAAAAAATAAAAAAAAATACCTAGATCAAGGTTTGATCTAGTTCAGTGCCAGGGTTAGTGTTTAGGTCAGGGTCAAAGGTCAAGGTCAGGATTTAAAAAAAATTGGTATCAGTGTCAGTTAGTGTTAATGTCAGTGTCAGTTAGTGTCAGTGTGTTTTAGGTAAAAAAAAAAAAAAAAAGACAAAAACAAAATGCGCACTATGGTTTCTGGGCTGTACTACGGGTACAAACAACAAATAACATACACATATATGGTATCGCTGCGATCGTCAAGAGCTGGAGAATTTATTTTTGGTTGCTCTTTGGTGGTAGGTTATGGTCATAACAAGAAACACATAGCTAAATAAAAAAAAAAGGATTTTTTTTTACTATTTTTGGCCAGTTTTCCTTTGATAGTAAAAAAAAAAATCAGGAGATATCCATTACCATTTACCACCAAATGAAAGCCCAATTTGTCCTGAAAAAATCAAGGTATAATCCACCTGGATGTGCAAAGTAGTTGTGATGATATGTATGGTTTTGCTATCACATGTCAACGGTGCAGAATTGTGCTTAGGCCTTTAGATTTGTTTTACCCTTAGGCGTGAAGGGGTTAAGGAGTGACAAGGGTCCTCAGAAATCAGTAGGTACACAGCTATATTGTGAAGTACGCTCTGTCCTTTAAGGCAGTATGCAGCCCTTCCATCACAAAGTTCCTTCTTCTTCTAGGTGCATCTACTCAATATGATGGAGATAATTCTTGGATTGCTCCTCCTCCTGATATTCTTGTGAGTATTGACATTCTAAGTCTGATTTTCTCTGCAACTAATCCTATTAGAGGCAATGCTATAGTGTGACAAAATAAATAGTGGTGTGAACCTCCTGCACTACTAGTGGTGCACCCAAATGAAAATTCTATTGAAACCAAAAATTCAGAATGCACTTTATTCTTTACGTCTGGAGGAAAATAAATGAATTGAGGACCCCAGTGCTGCAAGACAGATGTGCTGACCACTTTATATAGAATATACATTTTGTTAAAAGATTATAAATGCTTTCATAACTTTTATTTATAGGTTGGTGGAATGCCTGGTCGTCCTAAAGAATGACCATGCCACCCTCATTTGGTCCCACATAGCCATCAAGAAACGGACTAAAGCTTTTAGGAGACAGGCTGAGCAGTTGAGGAGACAAGCTTGGAGATCAAAAAGGCACTGTGAGGAGGCAGCAATGGTGGCTCAGAATTTTGCGTACTACAACGATGAGCTGAAGAAGGTATGAGGCACCAATATACATAAAACTTAACTTTGTCTAGGCTTTTATTGTCTTTGCCCCCAGTGAGAAGATCCCCGCACTCCCTGTTAGGAAAGCCCCTCTTTAGTAAAATAGGGAAGGGTTAGAACCTCTGTCAGGCCATTATTACTGCATGTATCTTCCTGTCCTAGTGACAACTCTTCTCATTCCTTGTCACGTACCTGATGGGAGACTGAAATAATGAGGTCGGCCTCACTTGTGTCACTAGTCCTGACCCCACTGGAGTTGGAACAGAGGGAGTCTAGGAACCAGGGGGACGAGCGCCAGTAGATGTTGTTTGCAGCACTTGTGGATGATGACTCTGGAAGACTGATGATCCTCTGATTCAGGCACAGCAATAACCAACAGAGCGGGTTTTGTAGATTGCCAGGTGTGCACCAGAGCAAGGGAGGAAGTGAGGGTAAGAGACAGGAGCAGTGTCATAGGAATAGCCAGGGTCATCAACAGGCGGACAGCAAGGTACAGAATCAGGAGCAAAGTCAGGAACCAGTATCAATCAGGAGAGGAATCAGAGTCAGGTCAGGAACAAGCCGGGTCAGCAACAAAGGAATCATACAGGAACAAGCAGGACACTGGAGCTGAAGACCAGTCAGCACCTAACATGGGCAGAGGCACTCCTTAAATAGCCCGTCTAGCGCCAATCTTCGCCGTGCTTGTGCACGATCGCACATTTCCGCGTGCATGCACACAACCGACCACTTTTCTCCGGATGTTTCTATGCGCATTTCTAATCGCAATTCGTCTCACCGGAAATCCCTTCTCATTCCTTTTCCTTCTGTCAGTCACTGACAGATTGCACCAGTAGGTGGTACACCAAGTGAATTGTTTCTGTCCTAGGAGGAGGGATGGACCCCTTGGAACTTTAATTTCAGAGTTCCGTTTGTTATATCTGACCTCTAGCGTTCCCTTCTGTCTTGCACAGTTGTGCCGGCTCCTCTCCTGCACTGAAATGGCTTCCTGTGATCTTCTCACATGGTGCATTACGGCTGCATTCACACCTAGGCGTTTTGAATCGCAGGCATAATTACTTTGCCATTTTAGCAGAGCGTTTTGAAATTGTGGGCAGAATCGCGGTAATTCTGTCTACGATTCAAACCGCCTAGGTGTGAGTGCAGGTTGTAGCAAGTCAGATAGAGCCCATTTCATTTCCTAGCTGAAGGAGACCCAGCATCATCTAGCTCATTCTTCCCCAGCCTGACTGTGCACGTCCCACCCCTTTCATCAGTGGATTTCAGTTCTTGCATCTCAGGGTTCAGCTTGCTGACGAACACCCACTCCTCCAAACTGACACCCACCCATCAAAACATTGTGGTATTTACATAACTCCTGCCAAGAGGCGGGGTGCTGTGATGTTTTCAGCAAGCACCTTGCCAGCCCCCCTACGAGCCATGAGCA